GAAGCGGGGTGGGGGCGGAGGGGTAGTCACCGCCAAGCGACAGTCGCGGCAGCGGCAGTGGTGAGCGGAGCCCAGCGGCAGCTCCTGGAGAGACAGCACAGAATTGTCTTCTCTATGGGGAGCTGCAGCCTGCCACGGAGGTGACCTCTGGCTCCCAGCCTCTAGGGGACTCAGTGGCGAGGGTAGCGGTCGCTGAAAGGGGATCTGGGGGTCTCGGCGGCAGCAGGAAAGCTCCACAGACTGGATGCGCAGCTGTGCTAGCAATCGGCAGCTCCTGTTCGAGTGCTCCTGAAGGGGCGATGCTACCATTCGTTCCTCAGGAGGAGCCCTGGGACCAAGACATGGAGGTGTTCAGTGGCGGAGCGAGCAGCTGCGAGGTTAGTGTGGTGGTCAAGAGGGGCTGGAACCAACCCCCTCCTTTCCTCCAAACCCTAGCGGGAGCTCCAGAAAGAAGGGGTGTGGGGCTGGGGAGCGGGCTGCCCAAACAAGACCCCTGGAGGCTGCAGGATGGTGAAACAACCGCCGCCCCAACTGTGCCTTCACTCAGGGCTGAGAGGACTCGATGGCAGGTTTAGGCTTAGGAGAGTGCCTGCGTCGCAGGCTACGCCAGAGTTGTAAGTTTCTGCACTTTGCTACCTAGAGTGGGACTAGGGGATGCGCCAGGTGTCGCGCCGGGTAGTCAAGTCTCTCTCTGCTGCACCCGGTTTGCTCGCTGGGAACACTTTGGGGGACAGCTGCTAACTCCAGCTCCCTATTGAATCGTGGGTGCGTTGGAAGCCAGCGCAACAAAAACACCAAGCAGACTAAGTACCTCTGGGGACATTTGCACCTAAGGGTGAGTGAATGCTCCTTGGTTACTTAGCTTTTTCGTTTCTGTGTGACTTGTTCTTTGTAACAACCCAGGTGTCCATTAACTGGACGCCAGATTTCTTGGTCTACATTCAGGTGATGTTCTGCTGCATCCTCTGTGTTCCCCTCATTCTTCTGCCCCCTTCCCTCCACCCCTTCTTTCTTTCTTCAGAAATTGTTGTCCCTGCCCCGTTGGTCCATAAAAGACACATAGTAAACCCCAGCCTTTATAAGATGTATCTTTGGTAAGACCGAGGTTTAACCTTAATATTTTGGTTCTCCTCTCTTCCGGGTCTTCTGAAACTGTTGTGGTTGAACTTTGATCAGCTGTGCAGTGAGAACTTAGATATGCACAGGTACTTTACTTTATTGTTGTTGTTGTTACTATTAAAAGCAGGCAGCATTTAAACACACAATAAGGAGGCATGTCGAGTACAAAGTCGGATCCTTTCCTGATAACTTAATTGATTGATGCCTGGTAGTCCACTGGAAGCACCATAAACGTCCTAAAAATACTTGAATGCCACACTGACTCCCAGTAGGATATTTTGAGGTAGGATTTGAAATCCTCAGTGTCTCGAGATGCAAATTTGTCTTTTATTGCTCCATCCTTAAAAATACACTTTGGACTCTTGTCTGTTTAACTTTTTTTCCTTTCAATTTTCCAACTGAACTGGATTGAAATTATGTGCCAGGATAACATTTAACAAAAAATATAGTGGAAACACATTCAGGAGTCTAAAGTTGAACCTTCTCTACTTACAGGAAATATTTTACTACAAAATTAAGCAATTCCAAAATATATTTTAATATTCTACATCTCTTAAGAACTGGACAAATGAAGAGAGGTTCATTTCTTCTTGGAATGGAGGAATGTTTTATACTTGCAGGAATTTTCTGTCAAGACTATTCAAGAGCATAGGAATTTTGTTTTATTCATGTATGTAATCTATTGACATAGACCCAGGCATCTGGTTTATAAAAACAGTTGAATGCTTGGATATAAGGATGGGATGGGAGGTGGGGAGCCTTTCACATGCCTACTATTTTATTACTTTTGTTAACTTTTAATGTAGAAATGTTTTCTATTGTAATTACCACATATGGTTTTTTTATTGTTTGTAGTATGTTTTAGGTATTATAGAGATTTAACAATGGGTCTTTCTACCTCAGCAATTTGGAAAAATAGTCAAGTGGAAATTGTTAATTCCTATGAAGTAAAACAAAAGGTAAAGGTAATGTGGTGAAGATAGTATTTCTTCCTTCTTTGTCTAAAACAGTTATGATTGATTAGATTTAACCCTGCAAGTGATTTGATTAAAAATATTCTAGGTGAAAACTAGATGCTACATATAAACAGACTTGCTTAGTACTTAGGAGAAGTTTTTGTTGTTATTTGTTTATAATGGTATTCCTTTGGGAAGAAGGAAACAATTTTACTTCCCAGAATTTATATTTTAAGTACATGTTTGTTGATGTTGGCTTTAGAAATGTTAACCTTTGAGCATGAGCTTTGAAGCCCTTAATTGTGATAGTTTTGGGGACTAAGGATACTTTCATTGTAGAATATATATTTTGAAAATATGTTGGCATTCTTAAAGAAAATATAAGTAAGAATCTCTTAACTTTAATGTCAAAGGAAATAATTTCTATCAATTTCTGTGTATGTTGAATCATGGGAAAATTAAAGATTATATACACTATCATATAGTGTAGAGTCTTTTTCAATACCTTTTACCTGTCTTTTTTCATGGGTCATTGTTAACCTTTGAATTATCATTCAGAAGTGTGAAAATTGGTTGTTTGAGACTTAATATATTTTCCCATAGGAAAAGTTCTTAAAGGTAGTTACATTTTTAGACCAGTGCACAATAGAGAGGTATGATGAAGAGCCTAAAAACTGTAAAATTGTCCTATGGAAAAATGTGTCGGACAAGAACTAGCTTGGTTCCAGTGAGAGGTGGATAGTGGACCTGAAAAGGGGAAATATGGACTCTGCTGGCTACCAGAAAAAGGGTTTTTGGGAGAAGGGAAATAGGATAAGCAAGAAGATTTGGTTGTGAGAGGTCTTTCAGAGACTGTCTCAATTAGGTCTACTGGGAATAGAGACTTTAAAGGGCGCATCACCCCTCAGGCAGCCACAGTTTTAGCTCTTGCCTGGATTCTGTCAGGATCAGGGAAGAGGTGTTACTTGAGGTATGATGGGTATTGGTTATCTGGGCAAGGGTCATAAAAGAACATACTGTTTCATAGTAAAGTGAACTTTTCATGAGTTATTGCCATGTTCATTACAGTTTTTGCAGTCAGTTGTATGTTTTTTTGGTGAGAGTACTTGTATCCTGATGGAGGAGTTAACTATATAGTTTTCAAATTGCATATTATGTCATTATATATCAATCATATCATATCATATCATATCATATCATATCATATCATATCATATCATATATCATATTAATTATATTATATATTATTATATTATTATTTATTATAATATTATATTATACTATATGATATTAATTATATTATATTTATTATATTTGTTATGTTATATTATAATTGGTACTTTGATATTTCTTTATCAATGCTACTTTTGTCTAAGTAAGTTAGTTTTGAGAATAATACAGTTCACTGATAAAAACAGTATAGGTTTAAAACCACATACTTTAAAAATTTAACTAGGATTGTAAGTATATGGTAAATTAGAAAAAAAATGCTGGTTTAATTTCATGAAACCCTATAGTAATAGAGAAAGTAACATGGGCTTTGGAGGGGTGATTAATCTGGGTTCCAATCTCAATTCCATTCATACCAGCTGTGTGATCCAGTGCAAGTTACCTAACTTCCCTGAGCCTCAGTTTCTTTATCTGTAAGTGGAAGAAAAATATCTTCAAGATTTGTAATATTAAAAAATGCCATACTGGGTTTAATACACTTTGTAAGGTGCTTTGCACATAATAGGTCTCCAGTATACAGTAGTTTCTTCTCTTTTCCCGCAATCATCATCATGTCCCTTTCCATGCTCTAATCTCTGAATTTTGTCACCTGTACTAAAACCTTGGGATTTAGATAACCACGGCTATAGCTCTAGCTTTCACAGATAGGGTGATTCAGGGATAAATATGAAGTTATATTTAGGAATACTTTGAGGGATAAGAAGAGACAAATTCATTTGTTATTACTGGCTGATGAGGTGTTTCACATTTAATTTTTAGGTTTTTTTCCCCTCCCTTGAACTTTTTCCATGTTAGGAATTGCTTCAGTTCATCCAGTGTTTATTGGGTACAAGGAAGGTAGACCATTCCACCCCCATGGATTTACATTCAGGTAAGCAAGATAGACATGCAGAAATTGTTGTATAATTCATAAGACCATCAACAATGAGGTAAAGTTATGGTGGTGGTTTAGGGATGGATCTGGTAGGGCCTTGTGAAGGAGGTGGAATTTGGTCAGGGCATTAGAGAGTTGATAATATTTTCACAGAGATGAAAGGAGCATATTTATGGGTGCTAGGGACAATAAAAGCAAAGGCATGGAGATATTTTTGGAGGAAGGAGGAAACTGATATTGCTAGGATATAAGGCTATGATGTGAGAGTGGGGATATAGTGTGATATAAGGTAGACAATGCTTTAAAGGTAGGCTAGGCTCATACTGTATGGGGCTTTTAAAGCCAGTTTAAGGGTTCAATGTTATTCTGTAAATGACAGCTACTGAAGGTTTTAGAAGACATGTGTTACTTGACCAGATCTGTGTTTTGAAATATAACCAATGTCAGTGTGTAGGATGGATTGGAGTTGGGGAGAGATTGAAGGGAGGTAATACCAGCTAGGAGGCTATTGTTTTAGTCAGTGGAAGTAGTAGTGAGATTTTTGAACTAAGGTAGAAGGGGTGGAAAGGAGAAGGCTGATGGTAGAAACCTTGCAGGAAAAAAAACAGAATTTGGCAACTTATTAGATCTTGGTGACTAAGGGGAAAGGATAAAAATCCACAGAGATTAGGAGTGTTGTAATAGGACTTATTCAATTTAACAGGTGTTTAATGCCTGCTTGCCTATATAAGTGTCTATGCTAGCCACTGTAATAATACAAAAATAAATAGATATTTGCAGCATAGGGAGATAGAAACCTAAAATGAACCTCCTTGTTCATATTGTCTTCAATAAGAGGAAGGTACTCTAAAAATTTCTGGTCATGCTTGACATGCTTTAAATCTTTACTACCAATGGTGGATGTGCTTATTACCAGCTTAAAAGTTTTTCATGCTTTTTAAATGATCCTTAGGCCTTCAATTTTTGTGTTTTTTAAAAAAATCAATATTCACCTTAAATAGTCAGCAGCCCCTGGGTGCAGAGGGCTGTTCTGAAGCAGTGATGGTGCTTCTTTCTGTAATGTGGAAAAGACAACAGGAATGTATGTATTTCTTATATGCTTTCACCGGGTTTATTTCTAATAGAAATGGTGCTATTGGTCCCTCGTCCCTTACTGTTCCATCCCAGTTCCTCCAAGACTATCTTCTTTTAAACAAGT